AATAATCTTGAATAGAAACTCTCAACTTTGGACTTGCCACAACCCCTAAGTGGTGAATTACTCTTACTTAAAATTTCTCTCACAGTATTTGATAGTCTACAGAAGTGTTTATTGAATATATTCTTTTAACTAAAAGGTTTACGATGTAAAATTCGGTCTGCATCTCTTAGCACACTCGATCCTCTCCTTCCTTTCTTCTCCCATTTGTTTGTTCCCTTTATGTCTTTTTTCTTTCTGTTTTTTTTATTATGTATTTGCATTCTTCTCTTTGCTACTTTCCTTCATATTTTTTCTATTTTTTATTGGCTAGACAGGACGATAATAATGGGGCTTGGCTCTCTTTCGACCTGTCTTAGTTATAACAATTTGTTTCATCAATAAATAAATAAAGTTTATAAAAAGTCTCCGATAACTTGAATAAAAGATTTTTCTAACAATTTTAATAGAATATTGAATGAAAATTAGTTTCGGGTCTAACTTGGTGACGTTAAGGGAGAAAAACGTTTTCAAACTTGACTCAGTTAGTTCGAAAAAAATTAATTTTTCGTTCATACAGGTGCAAGCAAGATCATTTTTGATATCTCTAAACCTGCTGAAACACTGTTCATGTACTCTTCTATGATTAGGTGGCTAATCATTACACGACTTTAAGCAACTTTTCTGTACGCCGAAACATCGATTTCCAAGAAACCTTGATTTTCACGTAATTTGTACTTTTCTTTGCTTTTAAATAGTTTTTTTCTCAAAAACAATAACATATTTGGAATCAGATCGTCGAACTATATCGAATGACAAATCTGTCAAAAACTTTTTTATTTAGTTTATTTATTTTTATTCAGCCAACGTAAGGTGCCGGAAATTCGAAATTTCAGCAAAATGTTTTTCATTTTATCGGCGGTAGATGGATAGATCGAATTACAGAGGAAAAAATATGTTTTAAATACATTTTTATGTGGAAAAATTTCAAAATATTCAAGCTTTACAAAATAGACAAAAGTGAGTGAAGTGTTAGTTGAGAGAGAGAGAGAGAGAGACTAATTAATACTGATATATATTTCATCGGATAAAAATATCAGTCAAACAAATTTAGTCTTTAGTTTGAAATGTATCGTAATTTGATAGAAAGCATCTTACACAAAAATGATGAGAAGAGCTGAGATTCTGAACACCTCAGCGAACAGAACACTGCATTGGAACTTTTTATTCTTTACGAAGAGACAATAGAAATTTTACTACTGTTATACTAGAAAATTCACATCTCGATCGGACGTGTTTTCTCTTTTTCTCTTACACATATATACATACATAGTACCTACTTTTTACTCGTACTTTCTCTTTGTTTTGGACAACTAATTATTAGAATCAATATGTTAATGCAAATACATATCCTAATAATCGCCAGAATTCTTATTCAACAGCTCACATTGTAAGTAATTCATTGGATGTAGTTAATGACTATGTTTATGATCCTAATACACAAATTTATTATAATATGTATCGCAACATTGGCCAAAATTGTGTTCCCGCACCGTCTTCTACCAATTTAATGTCGGTGAACTCATCAGCAAGATCTATTCGTCATAAGCACTCAGGAGATTCTGAAGAAGACGATTTCACAATGGTTTCACATAAGAAAAAAAGAAATAGTAATCTTTCTAACAATTATCAACAGCAATGTCAACAACCAAATGATTTTCACTTCTCCCTCTAACCAAACAAATCAACCGATTAATCAACGTACAACAACAAATTCAAATCTAAGCCAACAGAATTATCAACAAAATCAGAATATAACAACAGAAGCAACATGTTACGCACAAACACGGTTCCCTTTTTCACCGTTTATCATCCGGAAACGTCCAAGTTAAACAAGCGGCTGAAGAACTGTCATTGCATTATAAACATAATCATCAAGTTGATATCGCAATTAATAATTGTCGCCGGTCAACATTGAAAAATCGCGAATCGGGCGCTTGCAGCTACCTGACCCAATTATTAACCCATCAAAGCTAGCTTAAGTGAGTTGAAGCTAGCTGATGTGTTTGAATTCGACGTTAATCGCTCAATTAAGTGCCCACTGGATCGGCCGCTTGCAGCTATTTATCGGTGCAGCTATTTGACCCAAAAAATCTACGATTAAGCGAGCGCTTGAGCTATTTGATAAGCTAGATTTCCTTGTTTACTTTTTTCTGCCTGGGATATCCTCCACAACTTTCACTTATTATCAAACATATTGATATTCGAGTTGACACAAACGAATTTTCAGGGGATCTAAAAGCACTTTATCCAGAAATTCATAATGTGGTGAGATTAAAAAATAAATTTCAACAGGATATTAGAATTGTCAAAGTGGAATTTGTTTCTGCGACGATTCGTGATGATATCTTAGACAGTGGAAAAATTAATGTTAATTTTAGAAGTTATGATATCGAAGAATACCTTGCTTCAGCATGTGTATTGATTTGCTCAAGATGTATGGGAATAGAGCATTTTAAAAAACAATGTACTAATTAATTAGGAGCTAGTGAAGAATGCAAAGAACGAAACTATTCATCTACTCCCTAGATGTTCCATGGTATCAGATGACATTTATTTTATATTATAAAAACAAGAATCCTAGCACGATTACAAACTGTCTGTCGACATAAATTGTCTCTCTCTTCTTCAATTTGCGTTTACTTTTCACTTTTCTTAAATCTATCTGTTAAAGCAGCTAATTTAATTCTTTGTATTCATAATTATAAATAAAACTAGAATGCAATTGTGCTGCGCACAAGTTGCGATGTCGGCAGACCCTGGTCGTATTAACGGCGACAGAGGGATCATTAAAAAACTGAAATTAAAAATCTCTATTCAGCTTTTAAATGTCTTACTGTTTTATTAATAAAGAATAAAGAATTAAATAATTATATTTCGTCTTAAGAACAAATAGCGAAGGACAATCAACTCGAACAAATGTACGAAAAGTTTCAAAGTCCAAAGAACATTTTACTTCTACTTGTGTAGCTTATGGCGCTGAATCTGGACTTATGTTTGAAAAAAGAACGTGCACTTATCAATCTGCAGGATCTAGAAACTATCCTCCCGTTTTCGGAAGTTTTCTACATAGCTCTAGATCACGTACCGTACATTTTGCAAAAAAACGACTAAACAAATTAAAAAAAAATTCCCTGAACGATTGCATAATGTCTATCGACATAAAAATAAAATCCCTGCAAAAACACGTCATATCTGTCAACATAAAAAGAGCGACCACCAGAATGAATTCACCAAATTCGTCACGAAAAAGAAACCGTCAAGTGATAAGCATAGTATTCAAGTGAATAGATGAATTGATCCCCTGCAATAGCTTTATTAGAGAAAGGACTGATATGCTGCAATGGAGAATAGTAGACATATACGACGGTCAGTTCCATTATTTCAGGTAGATGCGATAATCCCAAAAATGAATGAAAATATAGATTATTAACAACGCTGAGTGCACTGGCAATATTTGCTTTTCAAAAAAATTTAAGAACCTAATGAAAACCTACACCAATTAAACTAATAAATTTTTATCGAAACTGAAAAAATTCATAAATCGCTTTACAAAAAAACTAATTCATAATATCAAGATATACCATCTATTACCTTTTAAATCTCATTCTGTAGCTAAGGTCTGTAAAAAATGTTATGTTTTTAATAGACACCAGGGCTCTGGCTCCGTTCCAACCTGCACACGCAGTTTTAAAGTGTTAGACACTGAGGATGGTTTCATAGATCACAATAGAAATGTTGACTACAATACATACGAGAGTGACAATTTAAGGGTACCCCTGTCGGTAGAAATGCTGTAAAATAAAAAATAAAAGTCACTAAGCCTTCATATTTTCAGAACTGATTGGAAACTTACTGGAGCACTTTTTCGTTTCTGTTTCTAGTTTTTAATTGGACTATTGCCGTTCACCAGTTTTCCAGAAAACTCGGCTTTTCATTGGACCACATTCCGACCCCCTTAAATTTCTTTTAAATTTTACTAGAGACTTTTTTTAAGACCTTTTCTGGTCGAGTTATAGGGAAAATACTGGAAAACGTCTCAAAAACCAAGGTTTTCAATTTTAGAAACCCTATAGCTCAGTGAAGAAAAGTGGTTGATGAAAGGTGGTGAAGAAAGGTGGTTGTAATATGGTCCAATGCCACCCAGTTAGCAAAAAAAATAGTTTTCGAGAAAAAATACATTTTGTACATAAGCCAGTTTTTTCAGGGCATTTGCCACGATGCTTATATCTCCACGAAAACTCATCGGAAAATTCTAGAAAACATCTCATTGTGAATGAAACACATTCGTCTATCAGACTATGTGTAAAAAATTTTGAATGTACAGAAAAGGAGAGAAAAATTTATGAAACTAAAAATGTAAAAACTTCAGAAATGCATAACTTTTTGAAGAAAGGTCGTGGAGTGCTGGGAGTGGTCTTATTTTGTAGCCCACACTTTCGTCTACATTAGACTACGCTCAGCTCAAAAATCCGAAATTTTTTCAAAAAAGAGGGGGAGGTACCATATCCTTACCTAAAAAGCATATTAGTCTTACGATATATCGTCAATTACCCGCTCTGTAGTTCATCCAAGACTTGTTCGGTAGTTCTAAAAAGAATTTTTTCTATATTCGACGAGCTCTTCAAATTGAACGAGTCAGAATTTACCCACCAGGAACGTTTTTAGAGTGAGTCTTTTGAGTTCAGTTTTACAGAGAGCTACTTAAAACAGCCGCATCACTCAAAATAAATAACGTATTCATCATCAGCAACAAAAATGACCTATCACCAAGTCGATTTCGAAGATTAAGTAAGTGGACAATTGAGACGTTCCCTCGTTAGTTGTGTGATTAACCGTAGTAACAAAAAAAGATATGAAACAAATAATATGTTGAGTTAGATAATATAAATGTTATCTTTATTCTAGCATTCTTTTTATTTTTACAAAGATGAAATTGATTTATGAATAAAAAAGATTAAATATTAAAAAATTAAAAAATTAGGACGATAATAATTGTTCCATTTTTGATCGTTAACAATTTCTCTACTTCGAGTTATGAATGAAAATTGTTCTAATTTATAAAAACATTTGAATAAATAAACGATAAAATCATACTGTAATGAATTTTTTTCTGTTTCAAAGTATAAAGTTTTTAGTTTTGGTATGCGAAAAACTTTTGTTAATGCACCAGAAATTGAACAACCAAATATAACTTTTAAACGTTTGATATTTGGTATGACATGTACAAATTGAAATAGATCATGACACGTCCAAATATGAATTACTAATGTATTTAAATAATTATTTGTTAGTGTTGGTACGATAAATTTTGGTGCTAAACAAAACCATTGATAATCATTTGGTAACAAAGTTAAATGTTTGATAAATGGTAAATGTTTGAATATTGTTCGAAGAACAGGAGCAATGTTAAAACAAGATGTTGTACCTGAATAACGAATGAAAACTGATTGTAGTTGATTTAATTGTGGTAATTTTTCAATAATACATATACAGCGAACACCTGTTAATGTTAATGAACGAAGTTGAGAAAGTTGTTTTAATCGAGTGAACAATTGCAATTCAGTATTTTGATTAATTAATTTTAATGACATAAATTTATATTGAATTAATCGATAGTTTGGTGACGAAATATTTGTAAAATCAAAATGTAGTTGAGAAATAGTATCAATAATTTTGTTTATTGTTGAATTAAGACCATCAAATGCTTTATATATATCATAACCATCCAAATATTCAAAGATTTTATGCCATAATTTTGATAGTAAATCTTCTATAGTAGTAAACATATTTTATCAATCTGAAATGAAGTATGTTTTACTAAAACAAATTGAGCTGAAAAAGTTTAAATATAAATTGTTTTATCCGCAACTAGTTTAAAATACACACTATTATTCTGTTTAATTATTTTTTTCATTCAATACAATAGGAGAAAAGAAAAGGAGACACTTTATTGTACTCCATAATTATGTTGATATTATGCCTTGATGAAAAAAAATGTTAAATCAGACCATTATCCAAATTAATTTCAAAATTGTTTTTGAAACAAGTAATACTTGAAAGAGTGATATGCTATTAATTATTTTGAGTTATCCGTAAAAAGTTGTCATAATCATTTACCAAACCATTGATAAAGTCTGAATGAATGAATCGTCGGGACAAAATTTAAATATCCGATCAAATGCTTAAAAAAAGATGAATTTTATTATTGAAATAGTGGTAAAAAAAAAGAAAGTTTATACAGTAGTATATATACTTTTTCGAACTAGAAAACATGAAACTTCGAGATGATCTTCATCTGTCAGTAAAAAGCATATTTTTCTTGTCAAAAGTAGCTTAGTATGAAAGACAATGAGCAATACATAGGATTACGTATGTTACTTATTCAACAGATATACTTTATTTTGGGCTCGATTTTACGCAAACAATAAAGAAAACGAAATTATACACGGGCTCATTTGTGTTCGAAAGAGCAGATTTATATTTTTAACATAACATTTATATTTTTTAAATTCCGAGCTCATTTCTGTCTTTTTTCGACTAATTAATCACTCCAGACTCAATTATTCTCATGTCCTTGATCTAAAACTCTTTTGTCAGGTTGCTTTTTTCTATTGATCCACAACTATATGCAAGTAATTACGATTGGTAAGTTTTCATCAGTTAACGTTGCTCAGAGCAATATCCTCTTTAAAGGTTTCTAGTGATGAAAAGTTGATCTTATCTGTTACGGGCTCCATTCTTCCTTAGTGCCAACTTTCATCAATTTTCTAACACCCCTCCTCCCACCCTGCAATGATTACGAAGCCGTTACAAGTGCTTTTATAGTCAACATTACTATCACCATCAAGGTGATGGCGAGATAATTTGACAAAATAAAATTCATCTGCCAATTTCAACAAACTTGAGATTGAATTGTAATGGGTTATTGCTGCGGAAGAAATAAAGTTGATTACATCTGCTGCTATTTTCAAAGAGCAATGAAAACAGTATAAAATCAGATACAAAGGAGCAGAAAGAAGAAGAAAGAATACTGCATCTAGCAGATTTATCATCGCTGGTTTAGGGTGCTAACATGTGTCACTATCGATAGCCCGATATCTTCTCTATAGCTAACAAGCTTCTGACATGGTCACTCATATCGTAAAGTGTACCTGGCACTCACACACGCACATAATCTCTAATAGGTTAATGCCATTTGTGTACAGCATCATGGCTGACAAATAAATAATATCATTACTTCTTGAATTAAGACTACGAAATAACAAATAAATATTCGGTCAAATTAAAGAAGCAACCGGTTGTTAAAACATATCATGAGTTCAATGTTAAATAGTTGTTAAATGTTAAATAGTCTACATCTCTCTCTGGTATTCTTAATTTAGACCAAATCTAACAGTGAACAACACAAACAGAATCCCTGCACAACTATTGAATGATTTTGAAAATCCAGAATTATAGGGAGGTGAGAATATTCCTGCATGCTCACCCCTACATTCACAGACCTGCATATTGATTGTTGAATCGCTACGTAACAATACACAGTTCATGCATTGATTCGGTGTCATCCACTCAAGAATAAATTCGTGTGGTCATCGAAAAGATTCTATTTACTTTTATAACTCACCTTCGATTGTACAGTGTAGATACATCGCTTTGATTATCGTCAAATGTCAGTCTCTGTTATGGCATAGAAAATAGACATTATAGATCTCGAGTTAGAATTCTGTGGGGTAAATCGGGCTACTTTCTCAAAGTTTCTCGGTATTTAGCGTATTTCTAATCCTATTTGATCGGATAAACGTGTTATTCAATATTAAGTTACCATCGACATTTTTCTACTCACTAATGAGAAAACCTCTCTAAAATCCATATCCGTTTTCGAGCAATATTCAAACGGAGACCAGCACCTCCGTAGCGGATAGAATCCACCCACTTGGAATAGTTCTGCTAATCAACGATACGTCTTTCAGACTCAAATTACTTCTACTCTTCTCTCTTTCTCTCTCGACTTGTTTTTCTTTTCTTCATCACTTTGTCCATCATGCACATCTTCTCACACATATACACATCTCACTGCCTGATACTTATATTAATATTTTTTTAATTATTGAATGTACTATAATAGGTTATCCCGCTTGTACTCTTTTGATTAATAAAAGAAATTTTAAACCAATTACATTAGTTTAAAGCCCTTCTCTTCTTCTACCTTTCATAATGATTAAAACTAATTAGGAGCCTGCTCTAATGAAATTAATTAAAATACAATCAATAAGATTTGTCATTGGACGAATTCGAGCCGCTTTGGAGATACTGGTCTCGGTTTGAATCAGACAAGAATTTTCAGGAGATTTTTTCATGAGTGCGTAGACAAATGTTGATTGTAATTTAATATTGAATAGCACGTTTATCTGACTCAGAAATACGCTAAATACCGAGAAACTTTGAGCAATTGGTCCAATTTATCCTATAGAATTGACTCTAGTTATTTATCGAAAAAAAAAGGAATCGATTAGCCCCCAAAAAATATCGAAAAATAGCAGCCAGTGCGATTATTGTGAACAGACGAGGATACAGGATATGAAGAGAGAGATATTTTTTTCGTGTAAAAATAACTGTTTCTAATATTTCGTTGTATGGCGAAGGGAGAGAATAGGGATGTATAATGATCTCATTAAACAATAAAGTAAAAGCAATAGTACGGTAAAACAAAAGGAATTACACACGATACTTGAGAAAAGATAAAAGAGAAAGCAAAAATACAGCTTTTCTGTTTACATTATTGTTCATTCATTTTTCTTTCAAACGAGTTTCATTGTCGTTATATTCTGTACCAGTATCGTCCGAGTGTTCATTTTCTGGTGTTAACAGAGAAAAATTTAATTTTGTTGTCGTCTTGTTATAAATAGTTAGTTCGAAATGATTAAAATCCCAACATACCTAAAAATTAGTATAAGAAACAATTACAAACGAGATTGCAATTGCGTTACGCACAAGTTGCGAAGTCGACAGACTCCCATAATTTTGTATGAAAAAAATCAGAGAATTTTTAATAAACAATTTTTAGTAAAATCGCGTAGAAAGACAAAGAGCGATATTGAAAAATGATTGTCACTTTCAAGCTTACAACGTAAAATTCGTTTTTTCTTTATAACAAATGGCATCGAACAACAACGATATGAAAATTTTCGAAGTTTATTTATGACATATTTTTTCCTCCACTTTTGGACCTTACAGCTTTGCATCCAAGTCATTTGTTGAAGAAAAAAACGAACATTCAATTGTCAATCTGCAACGTCCAGAAAATTTTCTTCTGTTTTCAAATCTTTTCTAAGCGTTGCGCAATTGTCTAGATCACGTGGTGAACATTCTGCAAAAAAAATGATTAAAACAAAAAAAATAAAAAGGCCAAAATTCCTGCAAAAGATTCATCATGTTTGTCGACATAAATAAATACTTGAAAAGAGATCTGAATCTATAGTATTGAAGACAATGATGGATGTTTGTGTATTAAATATTTGCACAAGTGATAAAGATTTTAACTTACTGTGGCATGATATCCCATAATGAGGAAACAAATGATATATTCACATAGTGAAAAATAACTCCATGCCGTACTTCCTTCTCCGATACCATTTGAACAATAGAGCACATGTTTAAAATAAAAATAAATAAGTATTATAGAAAAAAAACAAGATGAATAAAACAGACGAAATTTCCAACGATAAGATGATTCAAAATTATTTTTCATTCGTTCATCTTGTTGTTTATCAGTAAAATTTTGATTCAATCGACTTAAACGTCGTTCATATGGTGTAAATAAAAGATAACGAAATAAAATCAGACATGTAATCATTCGCATTGTCGACGATAACAAAAATGAGATAAACGCTTTTTCATGAAGAGGATAATTTTCTTTAGTTGATATATATGAGATTAAGATAAGACAAATAACTTCACAAATTTCTGAAAACAAATAAAGACTGATCGATCTATGTGTGAAAAAGATTTTAAATTATAATGGTATTTTATACATATATATCTAACACAAACGAGATCTGAACGATTTACCTAAAAATGTGTTGAGTTTTATTAAATATTTCATCAGTACGTGTACGGAAAATATTTTTGATATTCCACCACAATTGGTATCATTTGTTTGCATCCATCTTGTTTTTATTTTTTGTAAATATGTTTTAAATTGATTGTGATAAAGACAAGCAATAAGAAATCGTGGAAAACAATGCATAGCAATACACATACGCCAAATATATTTGCCAGGTGAAACGCCAATAACGGACGACATAGAAGGAATGAAATTATGAGACTAAAACATGCAAAAGGACAAAACAAAGATATGAATAATTATAACACTTTTTGGATGATATTTTTACGCTAGAAAAATTGAGATTTCTTTAGCGAAAAATGTATATCTTAAATTTATACGGTACTCCGTAAAATTAGCGGGTCCTCTGTAACTTAAGAACCATGATAGCTAAGGACTTCTAATTTTGTGTAGTCATAGTTCTTACCAAATGCTGATCACCCACCAAGTTTGGGCCGCTTTCACTAGATGGTTCGTGAAATATAGGCAATTTATCTTGTTTTCGTAAAATATCAATAGCTCCTGATCTAAGAGAGATGAGACTTTTTTCTTTTTGTAGCCACGACTCTACTCTATTTACAATGTAATCTTTTATGAGTTGGCTGTTAGTGATTAGTGAAATACAGCTATTTTACGATTGAGGTCTCTAGAATTGAGGTTCTGAGATATGAGGTTCTTCTCAAG